TATTATTTTGCACATGTGGATTACTAATATACAAATATGTTAATACACTTTTACAACCTCATTTTTAATAGCTAAATACTATTCTGTTATACAGAATTCTGTAAATATTAGCTACTTAAAATTTTTTTTTAATTTACATGCAAGTTAGTTAGCATATTGTGCAATAATGATTTCAGGAGTAACTTCCAGTGATTTATCCCCTATGTATAACACCAGTGCTTATCCCACAAGTGTCTTCCTTAAAGCCCCTTGCCCATTAGCCCATCCTCCCCCCATAGCCCTTCCAGCAACCCTCAGTTTGTTCTCTATATTTAAAGAGTCTCTGGGGCGCCTGGGTGGCTTAGTCGGTTGAGCGTCCGACTTTCGCTTAGGTCATGATCTCACGGTTCGTGGGTTCGAGCCCCGCGTCGGGCTCTGTGCTGACTGCCAGCTCAGAGCCTGGAGCCTGTTTCGGATTCTGTGACTCCCTCTCTCTATGACCCTCCCCTGCTCACGCTGTCTCTCTCCCTCTCCTAGAAATAAATAAAACATTAAAAAAAAAAAATTTTAAAGAGTCTCTTATGTTTTGTATCCCTTCCCTGTTTTTATATTATTTTTGCTTCCCTTTCCTTATGTTCATCTGTTTTGTAACTTAAATTCCACACGAGTGAAGTCATGATATTTGTCTTTCTCTGACTAATTTCACTTAGCATAATACACTCTAGTTCCATCCATATTGTTGCAAATGGCAAGATTTCATTCTTTTTGATTGCCGGTAATACTCCATTGTACATATATACCACATCTTCTTTATCCATTCATCTGTTGATGGACATTTGGGCTCTTTCCGTACTTTGGCTATTGTTGATAGCACTGCTATAGGCATTGGGGTGCATGTGCCCCTTCAAAACAGCACACCTGTATCCCTTGGTTAAATACCTAGTAGTGCAATTGCTGAGTTGCAGGGTAGTTCTATTTTTAACTTTTTGAGGAATCTCTCTGCTGTTTTCCAGAGTGGCTGCACCAGTTTGCATTCCTACCAGTAGTGCAAAAGAGATCCTCTTTCTCTGCATCCTTGCCAACATCTGTTGTTGCTTGAGTTGTTAATTTTAGCAATTCTGACAGGTGTGGTGTGGTATCTCATTGTGGTTTTGATTTGTGTTTCCCTGATGATGAATGATGTTGAGCATTTTTTCATGTGTCTATTAGTCATCTGGATGTCTTCTTTGGAGAAGTGTTATTCATGTCTTTTGCCCATTTCTTCACTGGATAATTTGTTTTTCGGGTGTTGAGTTCTCTATAAATTTTGGATACTAACCTTTTATCTGATAGGTCATTTGCAAATATCTTCTTCCATTCTGTTAGTTGCCTTTTAGTTTAGCTGATTGTTTCCTTTGCTGTGCAGAAGGTTTTTAACTTGATGAGGTCCCAATAGTTCATTTTTGCTTTTATTTCCCTTTCCCCTGGAGACATGTTAAGTAAGAAGCTGCTGTGGCCGAGGTCAAAGAGGTTTTTGCCTGCTTTCTCCTAGAATTTTGATGGCTTCCTGTCTCACATTTAGGTCTTTTCATCTGTTTATTTTTTGTGTACGGTGTAAGAAAGCGGTCCAGGTTCATATTTCTGCATGTCGCTGTCCAGTTTTCCCAACACCATTTGCTGAAGAGACTGCCTTTATTCCACTGGATATTCTTCCCTGGTTTGTCAAAAATTAGTTGGCCAAAAGTTTGTGGGTTCATTTCCCTTGTCTATCCATTCTTTAAATATCTATCCATTATTTTTTTTAAAAGCTGTATTATTTTATTATTTTTATTATTATTATTATTTTATTAGTTAAGCTCTATGCTTAACATGGGGCTTGAACTCCAGACCCTGAGATCAAGAGTTTCATGTCCTACCAACTAAGCCAGTCAGGTGTCCCTACTCTTAAATTCTTTAATGTGCTCTGGGGCATGTAAGTGGCTCAGTCAGTTAGGCGTCCAACACGTTGATTTTGGCTCAGGTCGTGATCTCGTGGTTGGTGAGTCTGAGCCCTGAATCAGGCTTCATACTGACAGTGCAGAGCCTGCTTGGGATTCTTTTTCTCTTCCTGTCTCTGCCCCACTTTGCCTGCATACCTCCCCCTGCCAAAGTAAATAAACTTAAATTTTTTAAAAGTATTATAAAATTCTTTAATGTGGTCAATTAAAACAGGACTTTGTGTCTGTTAAGTCTTCCTTTTTGTCCTTATCTCTGGTTCCCCAGTAGTGGTGGTATATATTCTTTTCATATTTTTTCTGATTATTTGTGTGTGCATGTGTGTTATAATGCTATTATGCTATATTTGCTTTTCTTTTTTTCTTTTAAATGGGCTTCATGCCCATTCTGAAGCCCAGTATGGGGCTTGAACTCACAACCCTTAAGATCAAGACCTAAGCTGAGATAAAGAGTCAGATGCTTAACTGACTGAGCCACTCAGGCAGCCCTGGTTTAATTTTTTTCCTAATAAGGTCTGGCATCTTTCCATATCAGTACATGAAAAGCTATCTCATTTCTTTTGAAATTGCATATTATTTCACAATTTAGTGAATCTGTCAGTGGGCATTTGTAACTTAAAAAAAATTTTTTTAATGTTTTATTTATTTCTGAGAGAGACACAGCGTGAGCAGGGGAGGGTCAGAGAGAGAGGGAGACACAGAATCTGTCAGCACAGAGCCCGATGTGGGGCTTGAACCCACGACCATGAAATCATAACCTGAGCCAAAGCTAGATGCTTAACCGACTGAGCCACCCAGGCGCCCCTCATTTGTAACTTTTTAAACAATGCCATAATCAACATTTCGTTATCATTCATATTTGTGTACTTTTATGTCTTTCTCTGCACTACATACCTAAAATGGATTGTTGAGTTAAGCAAGTATATCAAAATTTGATAGACTGCCAAGTTGTCTCATAAAAGGGTTGTTCCAATTTATATTCATCAAGTGGTGTATGAGATTACCTATTTTCTTACACTGTTGTCAACACTGGCTATTAGTAAATTTTAAAAAGATTTTATCACTCTTCATGACCAGAATATGGTATTTTTTTATAATTTGCATTTTCCTGTAATCTGCATTTTATTTTTTACAATCTGTATTTTAAAATGAGGCAGATTTTTAAAATATGTGTTCTTTCTTGAGCTAAGAAGAATAAATTTTATAAAAGTACTTTGGGAGGGTAAAAGGAAATTTATGCTAAACATGTTCTGTCCCATATTTGGCATAAATGTGGGATAGAACATATTTGGTATCTCTCCGGATAAGTAAAACACAGTATGTGAAGCCCTAGGATGGTGCTGGGTACATAGTGGATATTAAATAAAAGTGTGTTCTCTTTCATTCCTTCATTTTCTTTTTCTTCCAGTTAATTGATAATCTCTTTTTGGTCTGACTTGTTCTTTAGGTTTTCTGTAGTTGTTCCTCTGTTATCTGAGATAACAGAATGAAAGATCTTTTCAGTGAGTTTATGTGAAAGATTTCTACCTTGGGTCTGTGGGAGTCAGAAGGTTGGACAGTGTAGTTTCTTGTCTTCCAAAGTAAAATCTTGCATTTTATATTTTTGTAGCACACATTCTAGATTATTACTTGTTTTATGAACAATATTTCTGATAAGTTCTTGAGAGTGACTCATGGGGAGCTCTTGGGTTGGCAAGCTGACTGCAGAGCTACATGGGTTGCTAAAATGTTAGATGTGGTCAGAGCTTTTAAGAAAAGGTTGTGTACATCCTTATATTGATCTGTATAGTCAGTGCAATTTCATTCATGATATAGTAGAGCAAAGGAACTAGAATAACCAAAACAGTTTTGGAAAAGACCCATTATGGAGGACTCACATGACTTTTTTAAATACTCTACAGATTCAGTAATCAAGACTGTGTAGTTTTGGAAAAATGGATAGACTTACAGGCTGGTGGAATAGAAGAGAGAGTCCAGAAATCCACACATACATGTGATTTTACTACAGAAATGCAAAGGCAGTTCAGTGGAATAAGGATAGTCTTTTCAACAAGTTATACAGGAATAATTAGATGTCCATAAGCAAAAAATATGGATCTAGACCCATATCTACACTATATACAAAATTTATCATGTACCATAGGCCTTAATATGGAACCTAAATTTGAAAATTATAAGAGTTCCAGAGGAAAACAGGAGAAAATCCCTTGACCTTGAGTTAGATAAAGATTTCTCAGGTACCTCACTGAAAATAAAAGAAAACACAAGAGAAAAATGAAAAATTTGAGTTCATCAAAATTTAAACTTTTGCTTTCCAGAAGACACAGCTAAGAGAATGAAAATAGAAGTTCTAGATGGGAAGAAAAATATTTGCAGAATTCATCTGATAAAGGGTTGGTACTCAGAATATACAGGGAATCCTCAAAACTCAATAATAAGAAAACAACCCAAAGAAAAGTGGTCAAAAAACTTGACCGACCAATTCACTAAAGAAAGAAATGGCAAATAAACATGAAAAGATGCTCAACGTCTTTAGTTATTAGGAAATAAGACACAACTATATTAAGTAAGATTAAAAAAAAAAAGTTCTCTGCTTCCAGTAGTGCTACTGGTGACCATGTAATCCTCACCCTCAGGAGCAATGACGACACCCTGGACTCTTTTTGTGGGAGTTTCAAATTGCCCTGTGTCCTTGCAGCATTGGATTTGAATTTGGATTGAATTTGAAATCTGTGGTGCTTCTTAGTGGTTCTATTGAATACAATGGTAATCTTTGACAATTTATAGAACAGAAGGGATTTCAGCTTCCTTGTTAGGAAAGGCTCTTCTATAGTGTAGAGTCTGGGCACCATAAAAACGAAGGACTCCATAGTGTCCTATATTCCTGGGTTTTCTTTTATTGGATCTTTAAATTTTGGACAGATTTTTATCTGCTTTAAGCTCATGCTATTGAAGAGTGACCAAATTCTACCTATTTAGGTGGTGTGGAGTATGTTTTTCATATCACTGGCTGTCACAGCGGATGATTATTCTTTCTGATTGTTGCAGGTACTCCATCCTCTAAAGCAGCAGGGCTAGCCAACGGTGACCATGGAATGGAAGGGAATGATACTGCGGGTAAGTGGTTCCTTGGATTCCCCAAATGTGGAGGTGAAACAGTCCCAGTACACACCTCGATGATCTCCTTTGAGGAGGATTGTTAGGGAGGCATGTGAATTATTCTTAAGGGTTTTGTTGTTCTTGTTGGATGTATTCAGATCCAGGGCATCTGCCACATAACATCTCCAACAACAGAAGAAAAGAGTGGTATTTCTTGAATATTTGTTGTAGTTGTGCCACACAAGAGCTGGATCAATCTTAAAAATACAATTATAGATGCAGACTAATCATCATCAAAACATGTTGTTATAGTGGAGGCTTTGGCCACAACAGCTCTTTACACAGGCTTTTCCCCACTGCACTCAGCTTGCTTTCCATGGCTCAATGTTAGGAAATCTATGAGCCACAAATTAAAAGTTCTTTCTTTTCTGTTTTGCCCTCAGTCTTTCTCTTTTCTCTTTTTCCTCCCCTTTAACTGTTACTTTTGAAATCTGTCTCTAATCTTAGTTCCTAGCTTATTACTAAGACTTTGATATTCTATCAGCTAGCACTGAGTTCCCGGGGTTCCCACCTCATAACTAGCACCAGCTCTCTAATCCCAGTGTATTTGTATTGAGCAGAATTCTCAAAGAAGTAGCAGGGTCCACAGGGATGTTCTGTGCAAACCTTCTCTTAGGTAGCCATTAAGAGAGTCATGCTGTATTTTTATAAATAACTGCACTTACTTTACAGTTGTAATCAGGCTGACACTGTTGACCCAAATGAATAGACCTCTACTGGGCAAGCAAACTGCTCTTTGCAACAGAGTGTGCCCTTAACTGGGGTATAACATTCGATTCACATTGCTGCACTGGAGGCGAGCACTAGACATGTGCTGTGTCTGTGTTTCCCTTGTATGGGCACCTCAGCCTTGAGACGACTTTCCTTGAGCCACCATACGATTTCTGTTTGTAAGGCTTCCAGAAAGCCTCCTGTTAGCAACAGCAGTTATTCCAGGATTTATTTTTTATTCTGTGACCTTTCAAAATGTCCTATCTATCTTTGTATCTCCGATTTATTGATGGCTATTTTCCATTTGTTGTGAATGTTAGTTTTACCCAGTGACATTAACATCCTTATTAGCAGCCTATTAACTTAGAAACTCTTTAGAAGCTAAAAACAACCAGAAGTACCACCTTATCTTCCAGTTTTGTGAAGGGGAATTTTTGTATTTCTTTGAAAACCTTTGTTGTATTATTGACTGTTTCTGCGCCTGCTTTGAAAGCCGAGTCATCTGTGTAGTATAGTTTTAAGAAAACATTTATGGAAATATCCCTGTGGTTGAATGAGAAGCTTGAACATGAACTTTTAAGAAATGTGTGTAAGTTCAGCTTTCTTTGACAAAGAGGCAGAGCCAAGGGAAGAGAAGGGTTTGAGGAGATGATTGGATTAGCCAGTTGAAGGAGTGGATGCCATTTTCATTTAGAGAGGAAACAACTGTCAAAACTAGAGATTTTTCCCAGCAAGATGTCAAGTATGACCAGAAGAGACCCAAACTTTGTGTAGCAATTGCTTCTGATTGCCAACTCTTAATAGCACGGAAAAAATTGAACAGGAAAAACATACAGCCTGGCCCTTACTGTTTAAAGACTTTCAGTTCTCTGGTGGCAAAAAAGAACCCAGGGATTTATGAACTGCCCACTGACATTATGGCAACAGTAGAATATGATTTGCATACCTTGGAAGATATTTGGTTTCTGAATTTGACCTCTTGAAAATATGCATGTTTCGCTGGGGGTGGGAAGGAGTAGGGAGGGGACAAAGAGTGCATGTTTTTGGAGCATGTTGTGACCTCATTCTGATTTGGCCATTACTAACTAGAGCACGTAGCTCAATGCCAGTTTGAAAAAAAATCCCATTTCTGTTTTATTCAGGATGTTGTCTCTAATCCTAAGAGCAGACCAGCTCCACTGATAGCATATAAAGGGTGTATGAGCATCTTGCTGTGTTGAACTTGCTGTTTACTAATAACCTGTGCTTTTCTGCCCTTTCCTTCCCCTTCCTACTTCTTCCTCTCTTTCTATTTTTCTCCTCCCAGAAGCCTAGCGTGTCTCTCCACACTGGGGCTGCTGCAACACCAGACCAGTGATCTTTCCTAAGCACCGTTACACTTCTAAAACCTGCAGCATTTTGCAGAGCTTTGCTTTTCCTTCCTGGACACGATGTAGAAGAAGCTGAGGGTAGTTCTTCGGGGCCTATTTCTGCTGCTGCCTGAGCAAACCACCTGCTTCTTCTCGTGCTCTGCAGGGCTTGATGGAACCTCCTTTCCCTTTGTGAGCACAGAGTACAAGATGAATCCTTTTTAATTTTAATATTTTATAAAGGGCATCTAATGTCTTTTATTTCATGTTCTCTTTGAAAACTCATTTTATCATTTCATTCAATCTCACATTTTTGGTTTTTTTTTTTTTTTAGACATTTTGAGTTGGCCTTTTCCATTTATTTTTTCAGCTCTTCAGAATGAATCAGGATATTGTAACACCAAATAAGAACGTGTGCTTTCATAAAGGGATTGAGTCCACCAGTACTGCAGTGACCCTCCCTCCCCTCTCCCTTCCCTCTCCCACCTTCTCCCTCTGTGAGCTTGCTTTTAGGGAGAGACAGTCTTTTAGGCTTACCTGTGTTTCTCTCCACCTTACTAAAATCTGAATAACTATAGCTATTTTAATTTAAAGTTTTCTAATTTAGAGTAGCCCTGACTCAACTTTGAAAAGTACTTCCTCAAATTAAATCATCTTTTGTCATTTGCAAATTGGGCTGAAATTGTTTATATTATGAAATTACGGTTTATTTGTCTAGAGGCTTAGATTCTCTTGAAAGTCTGACAGCCTTTTTTTGTGTATGAAATTTTATAACCAAAGTTACTTTCATAACACGATCATGAACTATCAAAATAAGAATTGAGAAGTTTAAGAAAGTGGAATCCTGTATAGACTACTGGGATGCTGATACAGATAGAAAACAACTTTTTCTGTAAACACATGAGAATGAAAGTACATCGCAATTCACTGAAGAACTACAAACAGCTTATCAGGTTTCTAATGACATGGTTATCAGATTGGATGCAAACTCTGTTCAGGTAGTGTCTTGAATCCCTTTGGTCTCTGGAGAAGCCTTTTTGCAGCGTGCCAGGGAGATTGGTGGATCACATGTGAAGACCTTTACAAATCAGCATTTATACTCTTTGCATTCTGAGGATTGTCCCAGTGGGACTTTTTGCTTTTCCTTTTTAAGTTTATTTTACTTATTTTGAGAGAGATGGAGAGGGAGAAAATCCCAAGTAGGCTCTTCACTGTCAGCATGGAGCCCAGTGGGACTTTCTTAAACTCGTTCCTCGTTTTCCCACACTAATAGCTAAAAAATCTAGAAGAACCATTTGGAAAAAGTACTGCGGAGCTTTTCAGATAATAACCTTTGATTGGATATTTAGAAAGAGAATATAAAACCTGGGCCATGTTTTGAAATCTTAGACGAGTTCTGGTTTAAGATCCAGAATGTGAAACACTCCAATTTTCTGTCTTCTGATTAATTATGCAGATTGTCATAATCAACAAGTTATTGATTATTTTGGATTAAAATAAATAATTGGCACTAGGTTCTGAGGAAATTTTGAGTTGTATATTATTTTAGGTCCTCTGACACAAAACTACTTTTGAGATGGAAAAACCAGAATATTATGAAAGTTTAAACAGAGTCTCTGCAGTGACTTCTGGAATTCAGGAAGCATTCCCTCTTCTGGTCACAAGCAGGAGCTTGCTCCTCTGCCAGAAATTCCTTCTGTGTGTTCTTGGAGAGAAGACACTTAGAGGAAGCACATTTGAGGCATGTGCTTATGCTTACCTCTGAAGCAGTTGATAAAATATAAAATCTCTGAACTGTAGGAGAGCACCCATCAAATAAAACCTAGCACTTTCCCCTTTGGTGTGCAGTTAGTTGTTCAGTATGTTTTTTGGTTTTCTGTATTTGTTTTGGTTTTGGTTTTTTGGCCAGGAGCTTTTCAATCCTGGCAGTGCTAACTTTTAAGGATCAATTTTGACCTTTTTCTGTCACTTCTAACCAGTCTGTACAGCTTGTGAAAGCGACAGGTGGCTGGAGAAGCCCAGGGCAGCTCTACTGTGGCAGTGGTCAAAGGGGCACGCTCACACTCCATTGCTGACATTGATTTATTCCACTTTGATTTCCATTTTGCTTTGTTTTTGTTTGACTTTTTTCCCCCAAATATGTTTTTTTTTTTTTCAATTTATGGAATTGAAATTTTCCACTAATAACAGCTAAAATTCGGTGTACATTGTTAGCTCTCTCTGTTTCCCTTGGATGTTTCATTTTGCTTCAGTACAGCCTTGTATGAGGGAGCCGGTTCTGTAAGGAAATGCTTTTTTGTCATCCTGGTCACAGCAGAGCATGAGGTTACCAGACTGGTCAGCGTTGTTCTATTGAAATATATTTCTTATATGTAATCTTTCTCTTTCTCTCTCTCTTTTTTTTTTCTTTTTCGGCCCAATGTTGAAGATGTAGAACTTTGTTTATAAATAACATTTTATATAACCTTGTTCATGCACCTGGGTTTATATTTTTTGTGACTTTAGACTACAACAGTTTGTATTTGGGGCATTTTAATGTGATCATTGTGCTAAATAAATTACACTAATAAACATCTTACATTAACACCTTACAGACTGGATTTTGGTTGGAGTCTTAATTACTGAAATATAATGTGAGTTTGGCAAATAAAGACTCTTGAGGAATGAGTTTTCAGTCTAACTAAGCTTCTAATCCCACCCATAATGATTTCATAATTGTACGGGCATTTTACTCGCTGACAGACATTTTCATTTTCACTAACGTTGTTGTTTTTGATTCTCAGAATAACTCCTTTTTATCCAGAATCTGTATTAGTTAAGCCCAAATGACTGATATTTTATAGCATCTGATGAGAAAAACAGTTGGGAGAGTGGCAACATGTGGTTAATCCAAAAGAG